CCTTCAGCCTGCCCAGCTCCAAACCTGATTAATCTCACTGAGTTCTGTTGCTCTGGCTTGGGAGTGATAGATCACAGGGAGCTACAATCTGCCTCACATTCCATCAGAGAATCCAGGAATTGGGATAGCAGGGATGGAGCAGCCACAGGGAGGATCTGCAGCCTCCTGCTGCAGTGTCTGTGCCTGCCCGAGGTGCAGCAAACCAGCAGTGTCCAGAGGAATGGCAAACACACCCAGCTGACAGCAGCACCTGGCGGCTCCAGGCACACCAAAATCCCACTCCACAGGGATTTGGGAAGCTGGGAGCACCAAGAGGAAAGGGTCAGTGGCAGCAAGGACAGCTGCTTTAAGGACAGACACAGGTCCAACCCCCAGCCTGCTCAGTGCCATGAAGGGTCCCCCTGTGCCAGGGACACAACCTCCCACCACTCACCTGGAACAACAGGAGCCTCCCCTGCCTGACCTACTGAGCCATCTTGTCATCATCCCTTCTTCCTCTTCCCAGGGTGCCCCTGCACACCTGCTCTTCCTCACCTCCTCTTCCTCCCCTCCCAGCAGCCAGGAAGGGGAGAAGGCTGCAGGGCTGCCCACGAAGCCCCTCAGCTCCAGGCAGGAGCAGATCCACCTGCAGTGCCAGGGCTGTGTGTGCAGCCAGGCCTGCTCAGCCCAGCACTTTTCTCCTGGAGTATTTTGAGACAATCAGCATTCCTCTACAACTCCCTCCCTGCCTCAGCAGCGAGGCCCCTGGGAATCACTGTTCAATTACTTTTGGCAGGGAGATTTTTCTCTGGGAGCCCCTTAATGGGAAAAACGGAGCATTAGGACTTGCAGTAATTCCTGCCCCCACAGTGACCAGCAGAGCTTTGTCAGCACAACCCCCAGCACTCCAGGCAGGGCCTCAGAGGTGGAAATAAAGGCCAGGCTCTCACGTGGTGTCCTCCCAGCGCTGCAGGCACTGGCTGTGGAAGCTGTGGTTGCACAGAGTGGTGAGGATCCCGTTCACAGACTCATCCATCCTCTCCAGGCACACGGTGCACTTGGGCAGCTCTGTCAGGTCCATCACGGGCAGGCTGGCCCCCTGCAAGTACCAAGCAAAGAGAAACTGCTCAGCACCTTCCCAGCACCAGCAATCAGCTCCAGCTTCCCAGCACTGCTGGCACCAGGGGTCAAACCATGACACAGGAACGCTGTGAGGCTGCACAGTGGTTGGGAATTTATTGCAAAGATGAGAAAGTGATCCCCAACATTCAAAGGGCCACAGCCAGGGCTCAGTGAAGGGGCTGAACCTGTAACCAGCCCCACTGTGCTCTGTGGATTCCCTAAATTACAATCCAAGGCAGGTTTAGGTCACAGCTGAGGGACAAAGTCCATGGAGTCACCACACAAATTCTTCCAAGGACCTCTGGAATGGGAAATGGAGGTGGGGATGATGTATTAAGGCATTTTTGCTGTTTATTCTGGAAAAAATCCTGTTAAAACCTTCTGAAGTGCAGAGAAAAAGACCAAACCAAACTTACATCTTCTGACTTGAAGACTTCAGCCCTCTCCACATAGACGAGCTGGCAAACATCCTCCTCAATGGAGTTGAACTGGCGCCCATTGCAGGCCATGTAGAAACTGTCTGCATCAGCCTGGGCACAGAGCAGGGCAAACTGGTTACAAACACAACAACCCCAGCTGATCCACCCAAGGGAGAGGAGGAGAAACCTCCCATATCCTCCCTTCAACACCACAGTGGGGCTCAGCCAGCTCCAAGCACTGCATTTTGGTGCTGGGTTTGGCATCAGCCCTGCAAGACACGAGTGAAGTTCAGGGCAGGGACACCATGCTGACACTGGAGCATTCAGCAGGCACTGGGGATTCCCCTTCTGCACCTGTTTTACCCTTTGCTGGCAATTTCAGTGCATTTGCAAAGCAAATTTGGTCTCTGCAAAAATGTAAGAGGCTGCTGTCAGGGACAGGAGCAACAGTTTAACTGTGGGAGAGAATCCATTCAGCACTCACAGCCCAGGCACCTTCCAGGGCAAAAGAGGCAGAACCCACCCAAGCCCTGCCAAATCCATCATCCCTTTTCCCTCAGGATGTCCCCAGACCCTTTCTCCACAACCACCAATCAGCTGAATGCCACATTGTCACTCTCCTGATGAATCCAGGCAGGAGCATCAAGAACCTGGAGATTTGTTTTGCTACCTGCAGGCACAGCCATTAGGGGTCAACAGAGCTTCAGGGAATTGCCTGAGAAACAGGAATTTCAGGGTGAACTGAGCAAAAGTTTAGGGATTTGCTGCAAGGCTGGTTAGCACTAAATATTTGCCTGAGTAATTTAATGCAACAAGAGATATAAAACCATCTTTGTGACTACTGCAATTAGCATAAAACTCACACAAATCCTCCATCTGCACAAAGTGCTTGGGGAAATCTCTCAGGCAGAATTCACAGCTGGGGGAAACCTCTCCCTGAACCCCAAAATAAATCATGTGCAGCTGGCAGAAGAGAATGTCCAAGTGAAAGGGTCCACACAAGAATTAGGGGGGAATTTAAAGGTGCCCAGGCCAAGGGAGCAAACTGTGTTATCTGGGTACCAATTCACCCCCAGGCTCTCAGACTGGGGGCTGGCAGTGGAAATCACCCAGCTCCTCAGAAAAGCAGGAAAAGTCTTTCTTAAAACAAAGGGAGCTCCCCTGGCTGGGTTTTTTCTGTTCAGCACAGCACAAGACTCTGAGTAAGCTGAGAGACAGCAGAGAACTCTGAAAATTGATTAATTTGTGAAAAATATCCTGCCAGAAGAACAGGACAGCCAGAACATGGCATCCACTGCCTCCAGGTGTGGGACTCGCCTCAGCAGCCCCGGGAATTCTCTGGGAAGGAGGACAGGGCTGCTTCTCCATGAGTGAGTACAACCCTGGCTCAGGGCTGCCCAGTGAAGCCACCAGGTCTGTGTGACACTCCTGCAGCCAAGCAATGCTGGGAGCACCTTACCTGGGAGCTGAACTTGATGAGCACCATGTACTGGTTTGGGGTGGAGTCTCTGATGATCTTCATGTGCTCAATCACCTCGTAGAAGGAGGCCACAAACTTCATGAGGTCGTGGCTGGTCATGGTGGCGGGGACAGTGAGGATGCAGAGCATGGCACTGCGCCGCACGTCCTCCTTCAGGGAGGTCATCTTGCTGGGGACACAGCAGGGACACAGCTGGGCACAGCTGGGCACACAGCTCCAGCCACACGCTCACAGCAGCTCTGCTGTCAGACTTTATTAACCCTCTTTTGTCATCGGTGAGTGACCACAAACATTCATGCCAGGGTGAACCTGGGAGCTCCAAGAACAGTGGGATTGTTTGGCACCTGTTTTTTCTATAAAAACAGCTGGAGTTGGCAAGCCCCAGGTGTTCAGCACTATCCCCAGAACAGCTGAGCAATGTGTGTTACTGTTGCCAATGCCCATTTGGTGGCTCCTGGTCTGCTTTCTTTCAGGAAGGTCTGAAATGGGAATTTTCACACAATTATAGGGGAGTGGTGTGGAATTGAAACCCCTGGAATACAGATGAGACCTCCTGCCTCACACAGCTCCCAGGCCTGTCACCAAGACCCCAGAGATCACTATTGAATTGTGGGATCCCTTGGAAAGCTGCTTTCAAATGGGTTTTTTTTGTTTGTTTTTGGGGTTTTTTTGACTCTGTGTTTGTCTTACACTCTCACAAGCCCTCAACACCCCCAGTGTCACACACAGCTGTCACAGGTGCCACCCACAGCCCCAGGCTCCCCCATCAACAGCAGCCACTCTCTGCATTCCCAGGAGCTTGTCACCCTTCCTGTTTGTCCCCAGCCAGGAGCCACAGCCCCAGGGTGGCCAGCTCACCCTCCCACTGCCACCTGAGCTACCACGAATGAGGAGTTCTTACTTTGTTTTGTACAGGTGCATAATTCCATGAACGATTTCCACCGAGGGGTTCCCGCTGAAGAAGGAAATCTGGTCTGGGAGCTGCTTGGAAGGCGAGTCTGGGGCAGCCTCACGCTCCTTGCTTTGATCCTCCTGCTTGCTTGTGTCCTCAGCTGATGCAGCCTCCGAGGATTTTCTTCCCTCCATGGCAGCTTGTGCTTCATCTTTCACAAGGGCAAAGTTTCCCCTTTACTGAGGGGAAGGGAGCACCAGGATCACCCAGTGCAGCCCTACAGAGCCACCAAATCCCAGTTTGGGAGCTTGGTCCAGCCTCTCCCGGAGCTGTGGCAGCCTCGGGGCTGTGCCCATTCCCTGGGCAGTGCCCAGCACCCTCAGGGGGAGAACCTTTTCCTGATCTAAACCCACCCTGACACAGCTCCAGCCGTTCCCTGGGTCTGTCCCTGTCCCAGGGCTGCGGAGTGGGATGGGGTCAGTGGGCAGTGCCCACGGGGACTCCCCGGCTCTGCCCCCCCGGGAACCCCCGGCTCTGCCCCCCCGGGAACCCCCGGCTCTGCCCCCCATCCCTGAACTCCTCCGCTCGCTCCCCGCCCCGCACGCCCCCAGCCCCGGGCCGGTGACAGCCCCGGCCCCGCAGCGGCGCGGTGCCCGCGGCCGGTACCTGCCCGCGGCTGGATGGTCTCGATGATCACGTCGGTCATCTCGCGGCGGCCCAGGTGCTGGTGCAGGATGGCCGCCCGCTCCCCGGGGCCCTTCCCCTGCAGGCAGGCGGGCAGGGCGGCGGGGGCCGCGCCGGTGCTCTCCGCTGCCATGTCCGGAGCTGCGGGGACAAAGCGGGCGTTGGGCCGGGCCGCGGTGCCGCGGGAGCGGCGGCACCGGGACGGCACCGGGACGGCCCCGGCGGCATGCGGAGCGGGCCCGGCCGCGCTGCCCCGCCCGTGCCCCCGCCGGGGGAACCCACCGGCCGCGCTGTAGGCGAAGCCCGCGGGCAGCGGGGAGGTCCCGGCCAGCTCCAGCCGGATCACGACCAGCGACACGCTCATGGGCTCCGCGGGGCCGCCGGCACCGGACCGGGACGGGAGCGGCGCCGCTTCCGCCTCCCGCACCTTTCCCCTCTGACCCGTGACGTCACCGCGCCGTGACGCAGCGGGCGGCGGCGGCGGCTGCGGCGGCAGCGCGCGGGGGGCTGCGAGGGGCGGCCGCTGCTTCTCGCGAGAGCTCGGGGTATGTTCTCGCGAGAGCGGGAGCCTTGCCCGCTGCGGGCGGGCCGGGAGCTGTGAGGGGATCCCTGAGGGGAGAGAGCCCCGGGATCCTCCACAGGGGACATGTGAGGGGATCCCTGAGGGGAGAGAGCCCCGGGATCCTCCACAGGGGAGCTGTGAGGGGATCCCTGAGGGGAGAGAGCCCCGGGATCATCCACAGGGGAGCTGTGAGGGGATCCCTGAGGGGAGAGAGCCCCGGGATCCTCCACAGGGGAGCTGTGAGGGGATCCCTGAGGGGAGAGAGCCCGGGATCATCCACAGGGGAGCTGTGAGGGGATCCCTGAGGGGAGAGAGCCCCGGGACCATCCACAGGGGAGCTGTGAGGGGATCCCTGAGGGGAGAGAGCCCCGGGATCCTCCACAGGGGAGCTGTGAGGGGATCCCTGAGGGGAGAGAGCCCCGGGGTCCTCCACAGGGGAGCTGTGAGGGGATCCCTGAGGGGAGAGAGCCCCGGGATCATCGGGCAGGGAGGTGTGAGGGATCCATGGTATCTGAGGGGGAGACCCCCGGGATCATGGAATCCAGCTGCTGACCCATCCCCACCTTGTCACCAACACAGAGCACCCAGTGCCACATCCAGGCCTTCCTTGGACACCTCCAGGGATGGGGACTCCAAACTTCCCTGGGCAGTTCCAATCCCTGACCACCCTTTCCATGAGGGAATGCCTCCTGAACCTCCCCTTGCACACCTCGAGGCCGTTTCACGTTGTTGTGTCCCATGTTCCCTGGGAGCAGAGGTGACCCTCACGTGGCTGCAATCACTGATTGTGAGCAGTGATTAGTGTGTGTCAGTGATGAGTTATCCCATTGTCCCCAGCACCTGAAGGGGTGTGTGTATTAAACCCCACTTGGGGGTCCCTGGTGTGCCTGGGATGGATCCACCCTCCCTGGAAGCGTTCAGAGCACGAGCCCGGGTGGCCCTTGGAGTGGATTGGATAACAATCAAACAGCATAACAATTCCATGACTCTGTGTGCATAATGAACACTTCCCCCGTAGCTGTGCAGCTCCAGCCTCTCCTCAGCTGAGGTGCGAGTTTCCCTGGCCCTGCCGTGGCTCCAGCATGTCCCTGAGCGGCGCTGCCCGTGCCCCGACCCTTCTGTGTGCCGGGGTCCGGCGGCTCCCGCTGGCCCAGCAGCAGCCCAGGGGGGTCTCTTACAAAGCTGTGGTCTTCGAGGAGAGCGGGGTGCTGCTGCCAGCCCCTCACAGCACAGCCACAGGTGTGTATTCCCACTCCTGATCCCACAGGATGTCCTGAGCTGGGAGGGACCCAGGGGATCGTCATCCATTCCTGGTCCCCACAGGCACCCAGCAATCTTCACCCTGTCCCTGAGAGCAGTGCCAGAGCTCCCCCACAGGGATCATCATCCATTCCTGGCCCTGCACAGGCACCCAGCAATCTTCCCCCTGTCCCTGAGAGCAGTGCCAGAGCTCTGGCAGCCTCAGGTCCGTGCCCGTTCCCCAGGGAGCCTGGGCAGTGCCAGCACCCTCTGGGGCAAGAACCTTCCCTGATAATTCAGCCCAGCTGAGCCCTAGCACAGCTGCAGCCCTTCTCTTGGTTGGGTCCTTGGTCACCAGAGCTGCTGTTGTTCCTGTGCATGGAGGGAAGATAAATTTCAGGTGCCTCTTTCAGCTGGCTCTGGTGAGACGCCCAAGAACTTGTGATGGTGGGACCTGTTGTGCCATCAAAAGTCACAGAGGTGACAGTGACCACCCTGCACCCCCCTGGTGACAAAACTGTCCTGTAGTGCCACCACCTGATGCCACCCAAGGCTGGTGCAGTCCCCCTGCAGCTTTAGGAATATGAAAACATTCCAGGGCTGAGTGCTCCTGGAATGCCCAGACTCTTCCCTCTGTGCTGTGTCAGTGTCCCCAGTGCAGCCCATCACTCTCACAGCCCCACAGGGACTCCCAGCTGATTTCCCAGTCTGCTGATGCCCTTCCCTGCCTTCCTGCTGTTCTGCATGCAGGCTGGGAGGCCCGGAGCTGCGTTCCAGCTGGCACCATCCAGCAAGCTGCGCTGTCTGGAGGGGAGAGCAGCCTCTCTCTGCAGTATTCCCGAGGAGAGCTGACAGCTGTGGAGTTCCTGCAGGAATTGGGACAGCAGTGCTTTGACATTGTAAGCCAACTCCCCCCTGCTCTCCTTGTGCTTGCTGGCTGCATGGAAACAGGTCCAGTGAGGAAAGATGAGTTTTAAAAAGAAATTCTGTGGTTGAAGGGTCTGGATTTTCCATCTAGGAAGCACTGCTGTCAGAGCAGGGCAGATTTCCACCATTATCCTGGTGCCTGGGCAGGGCAGGCAGATGAATTTGCCTTAATTTCCTACTGGAATAAAGTCCTTTTTAAACACCTCACATTCATATGCAAATTCCTTTCCTGCCTGCTGAGCTGTCAGTGTCTGTCTCTAACCTGCCTTGATCCCATGGCAGGCACAATCCCAGTGATTTCCCTTTCCCAGAATCTCCCCTTTATCTCTGCTGTAGAATTAGGAATGTGAGAACATTTGTTTATTTGGGCAAAGCAATTTAGCTGAGATTCCCTGCCTGCCTTCTGCTGCCAGAGGAAGCAGGACAGAAGATAAGATGATCAGGCAACCTACCCACCCAACCACTCTTATTTTCACCCCATTTCTGGCCCATCATCACTCTTGGGCTTTCTCTGTTCCTCAGGCAAATGTCCGTGTTCCAGTGCACGCCTTTCTCCGGGATTTAATCCGAAAGGAGATGAGAAAACAGCTCCCCATAATGGCAGAAGCAGCTCAGTGTATCCGGGCAGAAGGGCTCAAGACAGCTCTGCTGAGCCACAGCTTGTGCCTGGGGGATGCAGAGAGCTTCCTGCCCCTGGAGCAGCAGCACTTTGATGTGGTAAGTCTGGATGGATCCCAGCTGGGGCTCTGCTCCTCCACCTGTGAAAGCAGCAGCCGAAATTCTTTAAGTGCAGGTAGCAGATGAGCAGCAGCACAGTTTGGTTGACATCAGTGGAACAGGCTGGGAAAGCATTTCCTGACACAATTCCTTGCAGGCACTTGGAGAGAGGCTGAGTGACATTTGCAAATCCACTGCAAAGTGCCCACACAGCCACGAGTTCTGTGTGACAGGCACAGGCAGCGATGGAGACAGAGGACTTGGAAGCTGGAACACCAGACTATAAATAAATGTTATTATTCAGTGCCCTGCCTGCTTTTAAAAAACAAACAAAAATAAGCTTTAAAAGAGTAAGGACTCTCTGAAGAGTTCATGCACCCCCTGTGCTACAAAAACCCACTACCCCAACATGCTGGCCTGGGTGAGTCTCCTCTCCCTGCACAGATCCCTCTCCCAGCAGAGTCTCCTTTCCCAGCACACTTCACCCTTGTACAGGTAACACAGATTAGCAGATTAGGTGACACATGAACCTCAAGGCTCCAGTAGCCACAGCCTCTGCAGTGTGTGCTGCTCCTGGAACAGGAGCAACAGCCCTGCACAGCAATTAGTGGGGAAAAATAACTGAATGTTGATTTCCATTAGTGTTGGCTTTATATATCCAGTGGATTCATTGCTGTTCCTGGAGTGTTACAGAGCAGGGCAATGGCTGCTTGGATTGTCCATGGTTGTGAGGGCAGTGGGGCTGTTCAGACACTGAGTCAGTGCTGTTTTGATGCAGATTTTAGGTGGATGGTTATGGTCAACCCAGCTGCTGTGGAGGTGGCTTTGGGGTGGCTGGTGGGCGCAGTGGTCAGGACGCTGCTTTTCCAGAGCCTGTGGAAGGTGCTGCCATCCAAGGCTTCCTTGGACAGCACTGAACAACTGGTCTGGGACACCCAGTGAGTCTCCCACATTGGGACATCTCCTTGGATATCTTCCATCCAAGGACTGGCTGATCCTGTTTGGCTGATTTGAGCGGAGGAGCCACGGCCAAAGCAGCTGGCACCCACACAGTCCCTGCAAGCACAGCCTAGCCAGCTCCACATCCTTCATTTCTCATGTTAATTAGACAGTCTCTTTCCCACCCTCCCATCTCCATTTCCAGCACTGCCCAGATGTTTGTGGTCACACAGGCTCATGCATATTCCATCTGCTGTTGCTGTAGGTGGTTGAATCACACCAGGAAGGGGTGCCCAGGCCAAATCCTGGCATCTACAAGCTGTGCTTGGAGTGCCTGGGTGTCCAGCCCCAGGAATCCATCCTGCTGGACAGCAGCAGCCAGAACCTGGAGGCAGCAGCCCAGCTTGGCATGAAAACTGTGAAGGTACAAAGTGGCACAGCCAGGGTGGGATCTGGGGATGGATTTGGGGTCCAGAAGCTGTTTGCTTTGAACAGCTCAGGATTTCCAAGTGGCAGTGGCCGACTCTTGGTCCAGCCTTGCTTGTCCCTGCAGGATGTGGTGGGGTTAAAGCAGGGATCACTGGCAAAGTCTGCCCTGGGTGTTTCATTCTTGGCTCCAAACCCTGTGTAACCTCAGGGAAGTCTCTCCTCATTCCCGTTCCTCTGCTCCCTATTGGAGAAACAGCCCCATCCCTATGGTTCACACAACCACACCAGCAAATGAGTCGCAGTTAATGAATTCCCAGAAACTCTGAGGCCTCATGGATGAGTCGGCTGGGGACTGACAGGTGACCCCCAGGCTTTGGGGTCAGTGAGCACAGGGGTTTTACTTTGGGGACCACTGGGGAAAGGGCAAGAGTGGGACTGGTGGGAAGAGTGACCTCCACTCCTCTGGACTGCACGCAGGGAATTCGAGCTCTTATCCCAGCCCGAGCTCACGGTGCCTGTGCCACCATCACGGGTCTCTCCAGGGCAGAGTAAAGGTGGGAAGCTCTGTGTTGGCAGGGGATGACCCATGAATTCCTGTGTGTCACTGCATCAGTGCTGATGGACTCACAGATAAATGCATCCCAACCAGGCAGGGCTCTTTCTTTCCCAGGAAATTTTGTCTTCTAGCTGTCACCCAGTGCTACTCTCTCCCTCCTGGTTTCAGGTTGATGATCCAGAAGCAACACTCAAAGAGCTGGAAACCCATCTGGGATTTCCTTTGCAAGGGTTTGTTCCCTATACTCGTTCAGTGAGACCAGGCATGGAAATCCCAAAGGATCGTCTGCAAAAGTACCTTGAGGATGTTCTTGGTGCCCACCCAACAGGTATTGCAGTGAGTTTGGCCCTTCCATCAGAAAACCTGGATATTCTGGAGCTATTGGCTTTTGCCATATGATATAGGAACTGGAAAATAATATTAAGGAAAGGCTTGTAATCTCCAAGCAAACAGCACAGCCATTCCAGTTCCAGTGATCCATCACTTTCGTAGAATTAAGAAACAACATTTTAGGACTTCCTCATTTTGGGAGGGGTTGAGCACAAGTGGCCAAAGAGATGCCAGGAATATTCCTGTCCTGTGAGGCAGCTGTGAGCTACCCCTGTTCCCCAGGGGTTTGGGACACAGAGAGAGATCTCAGCCCCAGGTGCAGGAAGGGGATGGAAAGCCTGGAGAAGTGCTGACCCTCTGCTCCCACCTCCCAGCCCCGCTGCAGTTACGGCAGTTTGACCACGGGGAGCCCACCCGGAGCTATTTGGTGAAGTTTGGAGGTCGTTTGCTGGTGCTAAAGAAGGAGGAGGAGCCTCCCGATGGCCCCTCAGGCCCTTCTGTCCCACGGGAGTACAGGTGAGGGGGTCCTGCTGCAGTTTGCTGTGCCAGAGGAGCAGGACACGTCGGGAGAATAATTTATGACCTGCCCTTGTTTTCCAGAGTGTGGGAGAGGTCTGGGGCTCCGGGCCATGGGAAGATGTGGGTGTGCTCCTTTCACCTGCCCCCAGCCACATGGTTTTAGTATATTTAAAGCTGAGCACAGTGATATGGTGTGACTGCCTCCAACACAGCAGATCCAGGGCTGATTCCTTGCACCTCTCTCCCTCCTGGCAGGGTCCTGAAGGCTCTGGCTGAGGCTGGTGTTCCTGTGCCCCCTGTGCTTGCTCTCTGCGAGGACAGAAGGTAATCCTGTCCCTCAGCTTTCTCTCTGTGCTTGGCAACTACAGCCAGATTCCCCCAAGATGAAGAGAGAAGGAACCAGAGCTCACAAAGTGCTCTGATCTAATGAACATTTGTGCAGTGTGGGGCTGGAGGAGCCTCTAGAAGTTCAAAGGACAGAATCACTTTTATTTGGTTTGGTTTAAGTATGTCCCATTATAGCAATTAATCCAAAAGCTCTCTCTGAAAAGCACTTATAAAGCAATATTGTAGGGCTTCCTGCTGACTCAGAGTGCTCAGGTTTGTAATAAAGAAAGGATTTTTCCAACTGCCAGACCTCAGACGCAGTGACAGCAGTGACAGGACAGCCCTGAGGCCTGCAGCCTGCTCAGATCTCTGCTGGCTGCAGGACTCAGTGTCTGCACTGCAGCTCCATGTGTGCCCACTGCTCCTGGTGTTTGTGAGCAGCCCGACAGCCCAGCCCACGGGCACTGCAGGGAGCAGGGGAGCAGCTGGGGCCTGGCTCCAAGCTTGGCTCCCTGGGGCTGGAGGGGCCCGGGCTGGGCATGGCCACGGGCCACAGGCAGCCTGAGCTGGCTCCAAGTGCTGCTGGGGCTGCTCTTCACCTGCCCACACAGGCCTGGGGGGCACGTTCAAGGTGCAGGTGACATCTGGGGGGTAGTGGCAGGATTGACCTCAGCCCCACACATCCCAGTTTGCTTCCCCAGCATCCTTGGCACTCCTTTCTTGCTGCTGGAGCACTGTGCTGGCCGCATCCACCGCGCCGCGTCCCTGCCCGCGGTGCCGCCGCGCCGGCGCGGGGCCTGCTACGGGGCCATGGCAAACGTCCTGGCCAGGATCCACAGCCTGGACCTCGGGGCTGCCAAGCTGCAGGACCTCGGGGAGCATGGTGAGAGCAGCCTCTGGATCCCTTCTTCTCCTGGGTGTCAGCATTTCCAGGGATAGGCACGATGGACCAAACTGGGGGCAGGTGGGAAAGTGAGGATGAGCAGCCCAGAGTCTGAGTCCCCAGGTGTGGTGGGAGGGTGTGAGGAGCTCTCCCAGTCCAGGTTTCCTGTGAGTTCCCAAAGTTCTCCTACCTCCCAGAGCTTCCTGCCATGTTTGTTGCCATCTCTGCCCACTGTGGGTACAGGAGTAACTTCTTTGCTGCCATCTCTGACCAAACCTCCCCAAGCACCCCCTCCAGTCCCTCTGCAGACAGCTCAGCTCCCTGGAGCTGGTGGAGAAGTTACATTTTTGTCCAGGATTGGATTCCTTCCACCTGAATATTAAGTCCAGTGCCCAGTTAAGAAAGTATGAGACCTTTGGACATTGCAATTAAAATCTTGGATCTTAAATCAGGGTTCTGGACTGAGATCTGCCTGGCTGTTTGACTTTTTCTGTGTCCCTTTTGAAGCCTCTTTGTGCCTTTCCCTGGGAGCCTCTGTTCCTGTGTTCCAGGAAATTACATCCAGCAGCAGGTTGAGACCTGGACAAAGCAGTATCGAGCTGTGGAAACTCAGGTGATCCCAGCAATGGAGAGGCTCATCCAGTGGCTGCCTCTGCATTTTCCTGAATCCCAGAAGACAACGGTGGTGCATGGTGATTTCAGGTACTGCCCTGGAGCACATCCCAGGCAGCAAACAAGGACTGGGTGTAAAATGACCCACAAACTCCAAAAGGTGCAGATTGGGCTGGGGCAGCAGCTTCAGAGCAGCCCAAAACCTGGGGTTTGGGTCAGGGTCTGCATCCCCAGGGAATGAGATTGAGTGTCTTCATCCAGCAGCTGCAAATGCTGCTCTGACACTGGAGGATCATCAGCTCTTCCTGCAATACTCAGAATCAGCCTGATCTCAGGCTGTGACTACTTGGTTTCATTCTCCAAAGCACAGTTTAGTCCATTATTAACCAGGGAGTTCAATATTGAGTAACCTCCGTCCTCTGCTTGCAGAAATTAATGTTTCACTTTGTGCTGCCTTCCAAAGGACTCAGCAATTATTGAAGAGTGTGAAGAGCACTGAAAGCACCTACTGCTGCTGAGCACTGGGATTTTTCCTCCTCTGGAGACTTTTCTGATCTCTTTTTCCCTCTGATACAGGATGGACCACCTGGTCTTTCACCCAGACAGGCCAGAAGTCCTTGCTGTGCTGGGCTGGAAGTTTGCCACTCTGGGAGATCCCATGTGTGATTTGGCGAATAACTGTATGAGCTTCTTCCTGCCAGCCCACTTTGGTGCTCGCAGAGGTACAGAGGGGGCACAGTCACCTTTGGCAGAGGAACCAGAGCTCAGAACAGAGCAGCTCCTGCCCAAGCAGCTCAGCTGGCAGTGGGGCTCAGTGCAGCTGGAAAGGGCTCTGGCTTTGCATTATTTTCCCTCTCACTCCAGCTGGGAAGCTGGACAACTCTTTTGGGTGGGAAAGTTGTGAAGCAGATCAGGACTGGTTTGTGCACTAAGTTATACACTTGTTAAAAAGAAAAATACAGGGTTAAACAGAGAGGTTCCATCAGTCACAGTTTCACCCTAACTAACCAGGAGAAGTGCCCCGTGTGCATTTTGGGGCAGGGGCTGGTGCCAAGCCCCAGAGCTGCATACAGAGCCAGCACTGCAGCTGTGCAGGTCCTGGAGGGTGCAGGTGCCTCCATGGAGGGGCCTGGCTGTGCCACAGGACTCACACCATCCCGTGGGACTCTGCAGCTGACTCACTGCTACCTCTTCTCATCTCCAGGCTTGAGGCAGTGTGACTTGGGGCACCTGGGGATCCCCACAGCAGAGGAGTATTCCCAGATGTACTGTGGCCACCTGGGAGTGCAGCCCCCGGAGAGCTGGAATTTCTACCTGGCCTTTGCCTTTTTCCGCCTGGCCGTGACGCTGCAGGGACGTCACCGTGGCTCCCTGGCAGGTGAGGAGCCCCCCAGGCCAGCAGTGCCCTGCAGGGCACAGCCAGGGGCACAGAGCTGCCTCCCTGCCCCAGCACAGGCCTGTTCCTGCCTGCTCTTTGTGCTGTGAGGTCTTCCCTTTCCCGGGAGAACTGAGCAGAGGCCAAAGTTGGAGCCCAGGGCTGTGTCCTACAGATGGAGCTCTCAGACCTTCCAGCTCAGCACCAGCCTTGCCAAGGGACTCACAGGGAGGTGGGGAGAGCTCTCGGTGCTCTTTGTCTGCACACATCAGGTGTGGCCTTGGAGTTTTATCAGAATGAAATCTGATGTTATTTTCACATCCTTAGAGAGGAGTTTCCCCGAGTCCTGCTGGGCTGGCCCAGAGGAGGGCGGGTGATGCTGTTTGGGATGTGACAACCTAACACAGGCTTTTCCAAACAAGTGTCCTGTTCTCTTGTCCCCAGGGAGGCCAGCTCCAGGTGACAGCAGCCCCAAGGACGCAGAGTTTGTGGCTGAGCTGGCTTGGGATTTTGCCATTAAAGAAGGATTCCGTGTGTTTGAGAACCTCCCCCCCACAAAGCTGCTCGTGAGACATTCCAGCACCTGGGCTGGGCAAGGGCCAGTCCTGGGCAGGAGTTACAGCACCTGGGCAGGTCTGGGCAGCCCCTGTGCCCACAGCCCCCCTGGGCACCCCCCCCAGCAGCCTGGGGATGGCCCAGGGGCTTTGCTGCAAGATGGAAAACACGGGCAGCCAGTGGGGCTTTCCAAATTCCCATTCCAGAGGGACTGCACATCCTCTGCCAGAGCTGCAGGTGAGACATCTGTGCTGGAGCTGCTTTGCCGGAAAACACGGGCTTTCCAAATTCCCATTCCAGAGGGACTGCACATCCTCTGCCAGAGCTGCAGGTGAGACATCTGTGCTGGAGCTGCTTTGCTGCACTTGTCCCAGGGTGGGAACTGTGGCCTCTGAGTGTCCTGGCTCTCCTGATCACGTCAGACATCTGGCACTCCTGGAGTCCAGGGGTTTGGAGGAAAAGGGCTGGGTTCATATGGCTGCCATAGAGTTCATATCCAGGGAAACAGTGATTTTGGAAGCTGGCACTCCCTTCCAGGAGGAGCAGATTAACACCAGCCCAGCTGTGGTTGCTTGCCCAGGTCCTGCCATCCATGCTGTGCCCAGAGCATGGCTGGGCTGGCCTTTTCAGCACTTGCCAGTCCAGGAAGAAATGGCTGTTCCTTACCTTTCCCTGTCCAGGGAAGCCTCACTCCTGCCTCCCTCTGGGAAAGGCTGAGCTCATTCCCTTCTCTCTGTCCCTCTGGCTCTCCCTTGGGAGCTCCCTCAGATGGGGCAGGGAGCTGCTTGCACCTCCCCAGCTTTCATTCAGTGTGAGTGGAAGCAAACAGTCCCACCCTTGGGCTGCTGCCAAGATTATATTCCTAATTATTCTAGTGACATTATCAAATTCTAGTGGGTTACTTAACCTCCTTTCAGCTGCCAAAAAAATACCCAGGTGCCCTTCCAAAGTGTTTCCTTGTGCTCTGGCAGAAACCAGCAAATGCCAGTGTGTCAGGGCACTTGGCAGCTGATCTGCTGAGAAGGTGGAAAGGGCAGGGAAGCAGCAGCTGTGGGAATTTGGAGGTGCTGAGATGAGCAGATCTCCTTGCCCTTCCTCGAAACACTCATCATTGCCAAGCCTCCAAACATCAGGATTGCCACACTCTCTCCACTCCACGCCTTGGGCTTGTGCAGATGCTGCTCCTGGGGTGTGGCACCACAGAGCCCCCTCGTCCCTGTCACCTCCACATCCATCCCACTGCTCTTTCCCTTGGCATCATCCCTGCACTGTCAGCCTTTGCTGTGGAAGAGTGTTGTGAAAGCCAGGGGAGGAGTTTTGCTGCCTGCAACAGCCAGATAATGCAGAGGACTGTTACACTGCCAAATATTCCCAGCCTGGAACTGCCAGAGTGCTCTGGAGCTGGGCACGGCCAAGGGCAAGGGCAAGGCTGCCCCTGCCAGCTGGCACTGCCAGGGGAAGGTTCATCCCTGGGAGCCTGGCAGCCAGGTGCCCTTGGCCGAGTGTTCCTGGCTCAGCAGGGCAGGATCTCAGCTGATCCTGCCTCATCCCACACCAGGAGCCAGCAGACTCCACACTGACCCCAAAGCTCTCGGGGAGATCCTCTCCAGAGAGCAGAGGGAAGCTCAGTTTGTCCTTCAGAGCCGTGGCTGTCTGTCTGAGGGGCAGCACCAGAGCTCTCATGGGTCTCATCCTCTTCCCCCAGGCACAGAGTGCCAGGACAAGGCCGTGGTGCTGATGGCTGCACAGGCCATGGATCAGGGCACCAAGGTGAGCAGATTCCTCAGGCTCGAGCCTTCCCTGACCCAAAAAGAGCAACACTGGGACCCCACTGAGTGTGAGGCCTGTGAGCACGGGGGGTGGTTTGTCCTGTGGGATCCCCAGTGTGGCTGTTTCCCAGCACTGGGTCCCCAGGGATTTGGAAGGCTCTGGGACATTGCTGCCTGGTCCTGCAGCCCTGTGTGCCCTCATGGGCTCTGGTCTCACTCTCCCACAGCTCCCTGGAGCAAAACATCTCCACAGTGCAGATCCCAGCCCAGCACTTCCCCTGGACCTGAGCTCCACGTCTGGCTGAGGGTCCCCAGGGGTCACAGGACAGGACTCTCCAAACCAGAGCTGAGGCAGGAGCTGCAGCACTGGGAAACCTCAGATGGGGACCCAAACCTGCCAGTCTGTGCTGAGGGCAGCCTGTGAGCTTCTCCATTCCAGTGGTGTTTGGTGTTACCTGTGCTTGTGCTTTTATGGCCTGGCTCAGTACAGGCCCAAGTCCACCCTGGGATCATGAGGCTGCAGGAGTCAGAACTGCAGCAGGGAGTTGCTTGGGAGTGACCTGGCTGGGGGTGCACGACTTGGTTTGGGGAATAAAGAGAATGGAACAGCACATCTCCTTCAGTGCATCTCTTCTTCTTCAGCACAACCTCCAGCAAATTGCGGATGCTCGAAGAACCCTCAGTGGTGGAAGGAGCTGAATCCAGTCCTCGAGGTCTCTGGATTCAGGGGAGATGAGCTGAGGCAGTGCCTGCCCTGTGGAACTGGGAGAAACTGGGAGGACTCCATGGTCCCATGAGTGTGGTGGGGTCTCTTTGGGGACCATGGAGTGTGCAGTGCATCAGTAGGAGCTTTCAGTGCTTTACAGAGCTAGGGGAGAACTGTGGGAACAACCATGGTAACTTTATGAACGTAAACAATTTATATGTTGTGTTAATTAAAGTACTGGCTAAGGTTTTTGGGTTCTCCTGCTCCTCAACTTTATGAACGTAAGCAATTTATATGTTGTGTTATTAATTATTAAAGTACTGGCTAAGGTTTTTGGGTTCTCCTGCTCCTCCAGCGTGGGTGCAGCTCCCAGCCCATGTGCCCAGGCTGGCACCACCTGGCAGCCCTCAGGGGCACGAGGGTGCTGCAGAGAGCCCTGGGGGCCGTGCTGCCTCTCAGCACAAGGTCCAAGAGGCTGAAGGGAAGCCGGTAACCCGAGCCTTGGATTCTCCCAAGCTCCAGGGTGAAATTCCACCTCAGCCTCGGGCATTTGGCTCTGCTGTGGAAGGGGGAGGGAGCTGAGCCTGTCTCTGCCCAGCCCAGATATTTGGGATGGTTTCCCAGCAGGCACCTGACTCCTGCCCCTCCCGCCTCCTTGGGGCAGGCTCAGGGGACAGCCCTGGGGGTTTTGGTGCTGCTGGATCTGCCGCCACGCTGAGGGGAGGGAAGGGGCTGCTCGAGAGAGCCACAGGCTTTTTTTAACACGCACTAGTGCCCGGTGCCGTGGTTGTCCATGCCGGGATTGCACAGAAGGACACTCGGAGAGCCCCGAGCTGGAGCTCATCTCTGAGACGTGCCCTGGGGACACCTTGAGCCGCTCCCTCGGGACACACGGGCACATCTGTGCAGGGAGAACAGGTCTGGCATCCCCCACGGGCGGTTTGACACGCGCAGGGCTGTGACAGGAGCAGAACACTCGGAACAAGAGGTCCTTGTGAGTGCCACTTTGTGAAGGGCTGCCCAGGAGCCACTGCCCGGGAATCCAGCACCCTGCAAGGGACAAGGGTGAGGGAGGCTGAGACCCAGCACAAGAGGATTTCTTTTCAGCTGATCAGGGAAATGCTCACCCTAATCCATGTCCTGCTGGATAACCTGGGACGGGGCTTTGCCCTCTCTGGGCTGAGCTGTTCCTCCCTGCACAACTGGGCTGACACTCCCTGAACAGGAGAGAAATGCCTGGAAAGTGCAAATGCTGGAACCTCCAGCAAGACTTTCAGCGACCTGGCTCATCCAGGACAGCGGGTGAAACTATTCCTGAACTCACATATTCTACAATTTTTCTGTCCCCTTTAGTGAACCAGAGGCATCCCTGTCCCCCTTCACAGACTCCTCACTGAGTCTCTCATACAGGGTAATACCACAGGTCGTTTTCTCACAGAGGTTAAAAACCTCTCTGTATTTTTGTTCTGTGGCTTCCTTGGTGATGTTGATGATACCCAAGCACACCTCTGTCCCCTGCATGTGAATCTGCACTTGGACACGCTGCAGTTGCACAAGGCATCTAAAACAAACCAGAGGAAAAGGCCTTTAGCCATTGTCGGGAGGGATTTCACAAAGCCTCTCATTTGCATTCACCGAGAAACTCGCGGTTGTGAAAGCACTTCCCTGGCTTTGCTCCACTGCCCCTACACACGGGAGGGTTTTTTGGGTGCCTGGGTGCACGGTAGTGGTGGCACATCGGTGGAACCGGGAGTGCAGGTCCCCAAATTCCCCCTCCACCTTCCCGCAAAAAAAACCAGCTCAACTGAGAGGTTTCTGGGTCTTTTTGTTTTTTCCCTTTTTTCTCCTAGTTGTTGCCTGCAATTAGGCACAAAGTTGCCTGGGTATGGGCCGGGACATGGCAGAGACAGGACAGGGACAAGGACAGGGACCAGGACAGGGACAATGCTGGACACGATGAGGCAGCCCCTGTGCACCAAACCAAGCCTGATTTGAACCGAACGGAGCTGAACCGACCCGAACGGTGCTGAGCTGTGCCGAGCCCAGCCGAGCCACACCAAGCTGATCCGAGCGGGGCCGTGCTGAGCTGGGCCGAGCCGGGCCGGGCCGAGCCGAGCCGAGCCGAGCCGAGCCGAGCCAAACCGTGCTGCTCGAACCGAGCAGGACCGAGCCTATTCCACACGAGCCAAGGACGCCGAGCTGGCTCCGCTCGCGCCGTGCCAGGCGGGCCGAGGTGGGCGGTGCCGAGCCGTGCCGGGCGGGGCCGGGACGAGCGGGGCTGTCCCGGCTGGCGGGGCCCGGCCCGGCCCAGCTGAGCTCAGCATGCTGCGGGCGGTGGTGCGCGGCTCCCGGCTCTGCCCGGCCCTGCTCCGGGCTCCCTTCTCGGCCGCTGCCGCCTCCCCCATCCCGGCGCCCAACCCGCGCCCCGACATCGCCTACAACAAGGTATGGCCGCGCCGGGAGCCCGGGCCAGCCGGGCCGGGGGTTCGGGGCTTCCGCGTCCGCGATCGAGCTCCGTGCGGGGCCGGGCCAGCCCGGGTGAGCCCGGAGCAGCGGGGATTTGGGCCCAAAGCCGTGGGAAAGAGGAACCCTGGGTGCGGGGCACAGGGCGCGCACCGGGCTCTGCCCCTTGCTCTCGGCTGGCTCGGCAATCCCGCATCGCTGCGAACAACGCAAGGAAAAAACTCTGCGGAAGGGCACCAGGGAAGGGAAGGTGCTTGGCCGGTTATCTGCAGAGACTGGAGCCTTGTCCCAGGAGAATCCTGTGGGGTCACCTGTGCGAGGTGCTGCTGCAAGGCAGCGTTCCAGGGCACCCGGGCACTCCTTCCCCGCTGGCTGTGCCCAGGCTCTTGGTGGTTGTCTGGGCGTTCTGCAAGTTCCTGGCGAGCACCACGATCTTTGCACTCCCGTTCTCTTGCCACAGACCTGGAAAAAAAAAAATACCCTTAGAAAGAAAGAGTTGGTAAAAAACTGCTGTTAGCACCTGGTTCTGGTGCATGGGAAGCCTAAAATTGGTTAATCTGGGGAATAACAGAATCATTTAGATTGGAAAACACCCTTAAGACTCGTAAGAAATGCTGTAAAAGCTCTGGTGCTCTGGACAAAATCAGCTCACTGTAGTGTCTGTGCCTAAAGCAGTTTCCCACTCTTCAGTCTCCTGAGCTCCCCAATGCTCCTGCACAGCTCCAGCCAGGCTTCCAGCTTTTGCAAGGACCCACCAAGATGGGAAGCCCTTCCAACTCACGTGCTGTTTGCTGAGCTGTGAATTCTTTTATTCACTTGAGGCTGTGTTGTGTGCTTTTAGGCTAAAGTATCTCCCTCATATTGCTGCAGGTTTGGAGCCCACACAAGTCAAGTTAAGCTCTTTTAATTAACCAGGCTCCTCAGATGCCATCAAAGAAGCAAAGCTCCCCCTGATTTCCCTGGGATCTGGCTCGAAGGCTCACCCTGCTTGGCTTTTTCCTTGCAGATTTTCATAAATAACGAATGGCATGATGCAGTCAGCAAGAAAACCTTCCCCACCATCAACCCAGCCACGGGAGAAGTCATCTGCCAGGTGGCTGAGGGCGATAAGGTAAATGTTGCTGGGGTGAGATGGGTTTGTTCTCCAGGGGAGCAAGTCCAGGGGGGCTGCAGAGGGAGGCACCAGCCCAAGTCCCACCTGGGCAGCTCCGTGTCTGCAGCAGTGTCTGATCTGTGTAAATACCATGTCAAGTGCTGCTTGTGTCTTTCCTTGACTACTGCTTAAAAAAAGAGAAATGGCAGGGAATAAAGTCATGTAATCATCACCTGCCTTATGCAAGGCCCTCCTGGGAGTCTGTGGCAGAGCTGAGGTGGTGTTTCTCAGCAATTTGGGGTTTTTTCTACAGTCTGGAAACCTGTGTGTGTTCCCTAAGGGAGGAGTGAGTGAGGGAAACCCTTTGTTGTTTGCTTCTCTGTGGCAGCCTGGCTTGTCCTGGCGAGACCATTGCAGCAAGCCAGGACAGAGAACCAGGTAGGAACCAGCAAATGCCCTGTCAGGACAAAATCATGGAGCAGAGACAGCTGATCAAGGAAAAAAACTCCTTTGGACTGGATTCTGAAAAAGTCCCAAAAGTAGACTCCCAGAGCTTTTTCCATGCCTCATTCTAGGATGCAAATATTAACCCAGCAGGTGACATTGCAGAAATAACCTGATGATATTTGCTCTCTGTGTAGCTGAAATAACAGAGGGTGAGCACAGGCAGAGGTTGTGGCTGCACAGCTGTTGCACCCATCTGCTCCTCTGCCATTGCTGCTGCTTCCTCCTCACGGCTGCAGCCTGGGTGGGAAAGTGGGGAAAGTGGCCCAGGGCTGCACCCCTGTGCTCCCCTGGGACTGAGGAGTGCCGTGCAGCAGGGCAGCTGCCAAGGCTGCAGGTTCTCCCCCCAGGAGCCTGGCAGGAGCAGCTCTTGTGCTGCCTGGCTGCGGGCTGTTTTCTCCCGCACAGCAGGGAGAGCTTTTGTTGTTTCCAGAGAGGGAGGGGGGCTGGTTAATCCTTCCTCACCCTTTGCCTGGGCTCCCCCGCAGGCAGATGTGGACAAGGCAGTGAAGGCAGCCAAGGCAGCGTTCCAGCTGGGCTCTCCCTGGAGGAGGATGGATGCATCTCACCGCGGGAAGCTGCTGAACCGCCTGGCTGACCTGATCGAGCGGGACCGCGCCTACCTGGCCGTGAGTGCGGGGCGGGATTCCCGGGGGGCTGGGATTCCCGGGGGCCGTGTCCTCTGCTGGGCTGGGATCCTTGGGGGCTGTGTCCTCTGCTTCACCCCCAGCTCACACCTGGACACACTCCCAGAGGGAGGGGAGGCACTTTTGGCAAGCTGAGAGCAAAAGGCCAAGGTGCAGGACAGATCCAGGCTGCAAGCTGAGAACTGACTCAGGGCTGTGCACGTGAGTTCCCCCCAGCTCCTCAGGAAACTCTGCTGTCTTTGCAGGCCCTGGAAACCCTGGATAATGGCAAGCCCTACGCCATCTCCTACCTGGTGGATTTGGACATGGTGGTCAAATGTCTCAGGTGGGTTTGGAGGCCACAGCTGGCCCATGGTGCTGAGTCTCTGCAGGTTCAGCTACCTCCAAATCAGGCACTGTGGGGTCTGGGTCTGACTGATGGTTTCATATCAGACACTTTGGGTTTAGTTTTTACTGTAATTCCACTGAGTTCCCCAAGTCACACAAGTGGTGGTCATCTGTTACAGCATAGAAATTGCAATGGGAGACACAAATATTTCTATTTACTGTCCATTCTTTAAATCACCTGTTTGGGATTTAAAGAAATCCCAAACCTGCCCTCCGCTGTGTCCGAAGTGACTGAAACAGAAGAAGAAGCCTCTTTTATTTTCTGTTGGCAGCAGACTTGTTATTTTAATTCCAGTGACCAAACTGTTACTGTTTCCAGATACTTTGCAGGCTGGTCCGATAAATTCCATGGCAAAACCATCCCGTTAGACGGAGACTTCTTCTGCTACACAAGACACGAGCCCGTGGGAGTCTGTGGGCAGATCATCCCTGTGAGTAAAATGTAGCAGCAGTTCCTGCAGGGCTGCAAGAATTCAGTGTTGTGCTGCAAGTTCCCCTCTGTTGCCAACCACTGCTTCCTCCCAGGGGTGAGCAAAGCTGGCCTTGCACTTCACCCTGGGAGTGCAGATCTGCCTGTTGATTTCAAGGGCTGAGTGAGGTTTACTTTGTATCTACTGATTAAAAAAACCCCAAGGGGTTTAAGTCCATTTATGGGAATTACCGGACTCAGAACCACAATTAAGTTTAAACTGCAGCCTAGAATTAACCCCGAAATTTTGTGTGATGAGGAAAAATCCAAGATTCTTCCCTAAGTGCTGATTTGAGTTGAGCTCACTGGTTCATTACTGACTAATCAGAAACTTTCAAGTTCACACTAGCAAATCTCTCTGTGTTTTTCAGTGGAACTTCCCACTGTTGATGCAAGCATGGAAACTGGGGCCTGCCCTGGCCACTGGGAACGTGGTTGTGATGAAAGTGGCAGAGCAAACCCCTCTCAGTGCTCTCTATGTGGCCAGTCTGATCAAAGAGGTGAGGACAAGGCCAGGATTCCATCACTGCTGGAGACAGGAGCAGGGAAGGGCTGTCTGCAGGAAAGCTGGGTTGATTTATCAAAAAAAACTCCCTTGTTCATATAAATGCATGTGCAGATGATGTAAGTCCTGATTGGGGAAGGACTCTTTGAGGTTTGATTAGATAATGAACTTCAGGGTGATCAGAAAGTGAACATATATCTGTATTTCTGTGTGCATACACACCTCAACTTGTGCTGGGGACGTGGGGTGGGAAGAGGAATTGTCCTGGTTATTGCAAACAGCATTAAAGTGAAGCCCTGGGAAATCAAAGGAGAAATCAAAGGAGAAATCAAAGGAGGAAAGGAGCTGCTGTGGGAGCTCTCCTGAGTGTCACAAACACAGGGAAGGAGTGAAAGGTTGTAAAAGGAATAACTTTGCTGTGTCCTGCTGGGCACTGCCAGGCTGGATTCCCCCCGGGCGTGGTGAACATCATCCCTGGCTACGGGCCCACGGCAGGAGCTGCCATCTCCTCGCACATGGACGTTGACAAAGTGGCCTTCACCGGCTCCACCGAGGTAAGGGAGCACCCTCAGCCCTGCACAGGAATATCCCATGGCTGGGTGCAACACTGGAGGTGCTTTGCCTTCTCCACCTCATGCAAAGCTCATTCCAGGGTGTGAGATGTGTATTTGCATTAGGTAAGACTCTTTTGTTCTGATTTCTTTCTTTAGAATATTTCCTATTGTTTCCCCTGACCTGTTTCTTATTGGAGGTGAAACTCTGGGCACTCAAAGCCCTGACAATGAGGATTAACATTAAATGCTGACTGAGATGTAAACCCAGAGCCCTCCTGCTGATGTGGGAGTTAATCCCAACACCTGCTCTGCTCTCCCTGCAGGTTGGACACCTGATCCAAAAGGCTGCAGCAGAGAGTAACCTCAAGAGGGTGACCCTGGAGCTTGGGGGAAAGAGCCCAAACATCATCATGTCTGATGCAGACAGTGAGTAGCTGCTGGGCAATGTTTGATCTTGGCTTCTTCCAGAGCTGGAGGGAAGTTCTCCTCTGTGAGGCTCTAGCCCTGACATCACCATTCTGTGCCAGCTGCTGCATTTGTGAATAAGCAATTCTCCACTCCCACTTCTTTTCCCAGAGCTGGGTAGTTCTGTTATCAACAACAAAAAATTAATTGTTTCAGCACCTTCCTCCAGCCCTTGCTCCAGTTTTGTTCGAAAGGAAAAGGAAGTTCTCCTGTGTGAGGCTCCAGCCCTGACACCACCACTCTGTGCCTCCTGCTGCAGCTGCTGCATTTGTGAATAAGCAATTCTCCACTCCCACTTCTTTTCCCAGAGCTGGGTAGTTCTGTTATCAACAACAAAAAATTAATTGTTTCAGCACCTTCCTCCAGCCCTTGCTCCAGTTTTGTTTCCATTTCTCTTGGAGCACATCACTCTTTTCTTCTCCTATGAAGTCCTGCTTCCCTCATCCCTTGCCAGTTTTGTTTTTTGTTTTGTTAATGGTGTGCTCTCTTGGAGCACACCATTATTTTCTTCTCCTATGAAGTCCTGCTTCCCTCATCCCTTGCATATAAACTCATTTTTGGCCTTGATGAGCCAACACGTGCTTTTATGTGGCAGTTAAGGGAGAAAATTTATCCTCAACACCTGATAATTTCCAATGAGGACTGTAACCTGCCTCAGATTAGATATTTTTCTGTAGTCTGGGGTGCTTTAATGAAGAATGAAATCTGCAACTCCTGCCCTCCAACCCATGGCAATTGCTATCAACTGAAAGGACTTTGTATCCCCAGCAGTCTCTGTGATAACTGTGCTAAAAAATCACAGGTCTGGTTGGGTTTGTTTGCTTATTTGTTTTCTCTCCTCTTCCTAGTGGACTGGGCTGTGGATCAAGCCCACTTTGCCCTGTTCTTCAACCAAGGGCAGTGCTGCTGTGCTGGCTCCAGGACCTACGTGCAGGAGGACATTTACAACGAGTTTGTGGAGAGGAGTGTGGAGAAGGCCAAGGCCAGGGTGGTTGGAAACCCCTTTGACTTCAAAACCGAGCAGGGCCCTCAGGTGGGAGCAGGAACTGCCCTGAGCTGTTATCTCGTGGAATTGTCCCAGTCTCTGTGTAGATTAGAGTGGGACTATCCTTGGCCCCACTGATTAACCCAGTTTGAACAGAGCCCATTATCACTGGTGCAGGAGGGAGGGGTTAATTAACCATTGGGGCTGCTGCCATTTCCAAATGACCATTCCCTTTGGAGATTGCTTGGCAGCCTGCTGCAGTGAGGCACGGCTGGAGGGGAACCCGTTCCCAGGGGAGCTGACCTGTGTCCCTGCTGCCTCTCAGGTGGATGAGGAGCAGTTCAAGAAGATCCTGGGCTACATCAGCACGGGCCAGAGGGAGGGAGCCAAGCTGCTGTGTGGTGGCAGCCCCGCTGCAGACAGGGGCTTCTTCATCCAGCCCACGGTGTTTGGGGACGTGCAGGACAGCATGACCATCGCCAGGGAGGAGGTGAGTGCTGCAGCTCTCCAGGCTGCACTGGGACATGCAAATAAAAGTATCTGTTTGGTTAATAGCTCCTAAAACTAAGTGCAGCAGTGGGTTTTGGTTTTTTAATTAATTATTTATTTTAGGGGGTAGGTTTTGTTAATGAGCTGTTGAGTTTTATTGCACGATTGATAAAGTGACATCATTTTATTTGTGAGATGTTTTACTTAGGGGGAGGAGCTAAGCATTCTTAATTAGTATTTTAAATCTCAAATTTTTTAGCTTGTCAGCTTTTCAAATTAGGTTTCTAGAGGAAATTTATAGATAAATGTATAGATTAATTTTATTTATAGATATTACTACTAAACTTCTAGAAGAAAACGACATCATTTTATAAGATTACTACTTTAACAGAACTGCATCTGTCACTTCAGGAGGACTGAAATTACCATTCAATCACTCTGAATGACAAGGAGAGAGAATATGTATGAGAATATAACCTCATTATATTCTGGGGTTATAACCCTCAGGGTTATATTCTGACCCTGTCAGTGTTTTTGTACTCCTGCATTTTATTTTAGTTTTCCTATTAAGTTTTATAGGGTTTAAAAAATTATTATTTATATTAATTTTCCTCTGATGTTATAGGGGTTTTTATTATTATTCATTTTAATTTTCCTATTAAGTTATAGGGGGTTTATTATTATTTATTTTAATTTTCCTATTGAGGTAGGTTTTTAAAATTACTATTTATTTTAATTTTCCTATGAAGTTATAGGGGGGTTTTATTATTATTTAATTTCCTATGAAGTTATAGGGCTTTTTTCTCCTTATTTATACATACTAGTAAAAAACCTGTTATTCCTACCCTCATATCTTTGCCTGAAAGCCCCTTAATTTCAAAATTAAAATAATTCAGAAAAGCTGACATTTTCCACTGCAAAAAGAAGCTCCTGCCTTCCTCAGCAAACACTTGTCTTTGAAACCAAGACAGTGGCACTTTTCCCTTCTTGGTGCAAAAGCCCCAGGTTCTATCTCAGACCTAGAATAGCTCAGACCCAGACTAAGTCAGCTCAGACGGGGCTCTCTCTGGGTCAGGTTTATCTGGGCTTTGCTCGGGGTCATGGCAGAATGTCAGGTGTAGTGGGAACGAGGTTAAATTTGGGTATTTATTTTTATAGGTATTTGGTTTTTATAGGTATTTAATTTTAACAATATTTATTTTTATAGGTATTTATTTTTTATAGGTATTTGGGTCAGCTCAGACCCAGACTAACTCACCCAGACCCAGAATTCCTCCCCCCGTGTGCCTCAGCGCTGCAGCCCCGTTCCCGTGTCCCCTGCTGGCCTTTTGCAGATCTTCGGGCCGGTGATGCAGATCCTCAAGTTCAGAACCATCGAGGAGGTGATCGAGAGAGCCAACGACTCCAAGTACGGCCTGGCCGCCGCCGTGTTCACCCGGGACCTGGACAAGGCCAACTTCGTGTCGCAGAGCCTGCGGGCGGGCACGGTCTGGTGAGCCCGGCAGCCCCGGCAGCCCCGGCAGCGCCGGCACCCCCGGCAGTTATTTTTATAGGTATTTAATTTTAACAGATATTTATTTTAACTGGTATTTGGTTTTTATAGGTATTTGGTTTTTATAGGTATTTATATATTTTTAATAGATTTAAATAGATATTTTATAGATATTTATTTTTATAAATATGTATAGATATTTATTTTTATCGATATTTATAGATTTTTCAATAGATTTTTCAATAGATGTTATAGATTTTAAATAGATGCTTTATTGATTTTTAATAGTTTTGGATAGATTTTTTATATAGATGCTTTATTGATTTTTAATAGTTTTGGATAGATTTTTTATATAGATGCTTTATTGATTTTTAATAGTTTTGGATAGACTTTTTAAATAGATATTTTATAATTTTTATAGAGATATTTTATAGATTTTTATATAGATATTTCATAGATTTTTTAAATAGATATTTCATAGATTTTTAAATAGATATTTTATAGATTCTTAGTGTAGATATTAATTTTTTAAATAGGTATTTATTTATTTAGGCTGGTCCCTCTCTCCTATGAGAATGGTTAACTGGGTGTGTTCACCTGGACAAGGCTCCAAGGAGACCTTAAATCCCCTGGCAGGGCCTAAAGGGGCTCCAGGAGAGCTGGAGAGGGACTGGGGACAAGGGATGAGGGACAGGGAGTGGGGACAGGGGATGAGGGACAGGAGACAGGGAATGGATATTTGTTTTTTTTAATAGGTATTTATTTATTTAGGCTGGTCCCTCTCTCCTATGAGAATGGTTAACTGGGTGTGTTCACCTGGACAAGGCTCCAAGGAGACCTTAAATCCCCTGGCAGGGCCTAAAGGGGCTCCAGGAGAGCTGGAGAGGGACTGGGGACAAGGGATGAGGGACAGGGAGTGGGGACAGGGGATGAGGGACAGGAGACAGGGAATTGCTGGGAAGGAATTCCTGCTGGGAGGGAGGGAGGGAGCCCTGGCAGTGCCAGCTGAGGGGCAGCCTGGCTCCTGGTGATGAGAGCTGTGGGTGGATCCCTGTCCTGCCTGACCCCTCCTGCTGCCTGGGATGGACAGATTCCCTCAGGATCCCCCCGGAGCAGCTCAGCTTTCCCTTTCACCCTCCCTTTTTTCCCTTTTCCCCTTCCAGGATAAACTGCTACGACGTGTTTGGCGCCCAGGCTCCCTTTGGGGGCTACAAGGCCTCTGGCAATGGCAGGGAGCTGGGGGAGTACGGCCTGGAGGCGTACGTGGAGGTGAAAAACGTGAGTGTGGCTGTCCCCAGAGCCCCACAGTGTGCCCGTGCCCTCGCTGTGGGCTGGGACCCAAACCTTGAGCCTTCCCAGTCTCCAAACCTGCCCCTGACTGGCATACACTGGTTTTTTTTTTCCTCTCACCATCCCAGTGAATACCCCTGAAAAGAAAAAAAAAAAAGCAACTTGTAACTTTTTCCTCTTTCTTTTTTTTTTTTTTTTTTTTTTTTTTTTTAAATTTGGCAACTTGTAACTTTTTCCCCTTTCTTTTTTTTTCTTTCTTTTCTTTTTTTTTTTTTTTTCTAAATCTCTAGGTGACAATCAAAATCCCGCAGAAGAACTCCTAAAGGACAGCAACGTTCTCCAGAGATTTGAAAATAACCATGCAGCTTCACGGCGCACAAAGCATCTCTAGGTGACAATCAAAATCCCACAGAAGAACTCCTAAAGGACAGCAACATTCTCCAGAGATTTGAAAATAACCATGCAGCTTCACGGCGCACAAAGCTGAACACAGGAAATTTAGTATGCAAAAATACGTAACTCTGCAGTAAGAGGTGTTTTTTTTTAGGTGTCTCGAGGAGCTTTTGTTAAAAAAAAAAAAGAAACAAACCTACTTGGCTTTATCTTTTTCAAATACCAAATGTATTTGGTGAGCACTAGCAAGGTGGGACGGTTACTTTGGGTACGTTTTGGGAATGTGTTGTGTGGGTGCCCTCACCCAGAGGAGAGGGGTGTGATCTTCACATCCCCAGCTGATAAACAAGCTTCTTTTCCCTGAGAAATCATTTAAATGCTTCTTTAGGCTAGGGGGATTTACAGAATAGAAAATAACAGAATTAGGTCTATAACCCTTGTCCTTTGAACTGTTTCTGTTCTGTGAGCAAAGTGAACGGAGTTTGTGTACCTGGGCCAGGGAGCAGTGTGAAATCTGAGGAAAAAGTGCTTTTTTTGTTCCGTCCTGCTGGTTGTAGCCACTCCAAATAAACATTTCTTGTCTCAGTGCAGTCAGCCCTACCTTTGTGAGGTTTGTGCCGATGAGCCCAAGCACACACAAATTCCGGTTATTTTTAAGGGTTTGCCCTGCCCTGCCCGCTGTGCTTGTGTTGCTTTGATGTAATCGCGGCACTCCAGCCGCTACCCGGCCCCAGCGCGGCTGTGAGCCCAAGCACACACAAATTCCTGCTCCGGTTATTTTTAAGGGTTCGCCCTGCCCTGCCCGCTGTGCTTTGATGTAATCGCGGCACTCCAGCCGCTACCCGGCCCCAGCGCGGCTGAAGGAGTGCGGGGGCTGTGGGCCGAGTGAGGGCGGTGCGGCTGCCCGGGGAGGCGCCCCAGGGTGCGGTTTCGGGGAGGAGCGGAGCGGACTTTGCGGCTCCTTTTCGCCGCTCCCCTCACGGCGCCCAGAGCGCCCCTTCCCCTCAGGCGCCCGCCAGCCCCAGATCTCGCGAGACTTAGAGCCACTCAGCCCAGCGGGCGCGCCGAGTTCTCGCGAGACCTCCGGGACGCGAGGGGCCGCAAAGCCCTTAATTAGGTCCCGCCCACCGAGATATCGCGAGAGTTCGATTTGCCACGCCCTTTGTGTTAGGGGCGGAGCGAGTCGATCTGGCCCCGCCCTCAAGCCGCGGTGATCTTAACGTCATCACAAAGCGCCGCCCTTCTCGAAAGCCCGGCGGGGGCTTTACCTTTGCCGTCGCGCTTTTAGAGCTGTCCCCATCCGCCTGCAAACCCCTCCACCGCCGTGGCGGCGGCTCCCAAAATCCCGGGAGGAGCGCGGGGCGGGCGCGCCGATCCCGCTCCGTCCTCCCGCGCCTCCCTCCGCCGCCTCGGCGCCAGCGCGGCGGCCCGCTGCGGCGGGGCTGCGCGGCGGCTGAGGCGGCGCGGCCCGGGGCCATGTCGCACGAGCCCGCCATGGACAGGACGATCAAGGTGCGCCCGCCCTCAGCGGGTCCCGCCGGGGGTCGCGGGGGCGGTGGGTGTGTGTGGGGATTTGGGTGTTTGCAACGAGCGCTGGGTGGCTGGGGGCGGGTTCCAGCGGGCGGGGGAGTTGTGGTGCTCGGTCGGTAATTAGGGGGCTGCCGGTTAATGAGCGCCTCGTTATCCCCGTTAATTAGTGCCGCTCCTGCTCTTCGCTCCGGGCTGGGCCCTGCTGGAATTCCCTTTTCCCTTCGGAGCCGATTTCGGCTGCCAAGTTTATTTGTTTTTTATTCTCTTCTTTGTTTTTTATTCTCTTCCTTTTGTTTTTATTTATTTCCTTTTGTTTTTTTATTTTCTTCTTTCTGTTTTTATTTTCTTCCTTTTGTTTTTATTTTTCTTCCTTTTGTTTTTATTTTTTTTCCTTTTGCTTTTTATTTTCTTCCTTTTGTTTTCTATTTTCTTCCTTTAGTTTTTATTTTCTTCTTTTGTTATTATTTTCTTCCTCCTGTTGTTTTTATTTTCCTCCTGTTGTTTTTATTTCGTTACTTTTGTTTTTATTTTCTCCCTTTAGTTTTCATTTTCTTCCTTTTGTTTTTCTTTTCTTTCTTGTTTTTTCTTTTCTTTCTTGTTTTTTTCTTTTTTTTCTTGTTTTTTCTTTTTTTTCTTGTTTTTTATTTTCTTTCTTGTTTTTTATTTTCTTCCTTTTGTTTTTATTTTCTTCTTTTGTTTTTTATTTTCTCCCTTTTTATTTCCCCCTCACAGCCCCAAACCCCACACTCCTTTCCCAGATCCTTCCCGAGCTTCGTTCCCTTTCCCACATTCACCCCCAAACCACAAAAGGCTCTGAGCTGAGTTGATCAAAGCTCCTCCGAGCTGCTCCTGAAAACCCCAAATTCCTGTGGGGCACCGAGGTTCCTGCCCCCCAATAAATCCTGCATAAACTAAACTGTAAAAATTAATATTAAAATAATTAATACTTCAGTAAGTGCTCATCATTTTACACCTGACACTGATTGTTTTACTCTGCTTGTTCTGGGCTTTGGGACAGGATTTATTTCCCTGCTTGGGGTGGAATTCCCAGGTGTGGATTTTCCTCCTGTTGCCTCCACTGTGCCCAAGCAGCAGCAGCAGCACTCCTTGCACTCGCTGTGTTCCCCCCAAACTCCCAATTTCCAGCCTTTCCCTGCAGGAAATAAATCTGCAGGATGGTTTTAAACCTCGTAGGAGATTTACACAGCCTGCACCTGTGTGGTGAAATTGGGAATGCTGCCTTGGAAATGCCAGGGAGCAGGGCAGGCACTGCTGAGAAATGGAAATAAATGGGAAAAAACCCAAAAAAACCAAAATATTTCAGAGAAATAGAACTAGAGAGATGCATCACATCGGGTCCCACCATTTTAATAAATTAAAATTACTGAAATTCTAAAATAAATGGCTCACGAGGGGTGATTCCAGCTGATTGGTCTTAAGGGATTTACAGCAGAAGCTGATAGGCCAAGAAATGCTTATCATGCACTGTAATTAAAAAAAAATTAAAAATAAATGAAAACATGATTGGCTGCTGGTTGTGGTGGTGTGAACTGTGACACCTGAGCTGTCCCACCCTGCACACCAGGCTGAAAATGCAATAAATGGTTTGACAGCTCCTCCCAGTGCCCAGCTCTGGGTCAGGACAAATCCCACGGGTTGGTGTTTGGTGTGAGGGGAAAAAGGGGTTTTTTGGGGTGTGCTGGTCAAAAAAAATCCCACAAATATCCAGTGGGGTCAGTGAGGGAAAGGTCTCTGGGATAACAGCTCAGGGGGGCTGGGCAGGGCTGGGAGAGCTCTGGGAATTCTGCTCCTCCTCTTGGAATTCTGCTCTTCCCTGGGAATTCTGCTTCTCCTTTTGGAATTCTGCTTCTCCTCTGGGGGTTCTGCTTTTCCTTTTGGGTTTGGAATTCTGCTTCTCCTTTTGAGAATTCTGCTTTTCCTCTGGGGGTTCTGCTTTTCCTTTGGGAATTCTGCTTTTCCCATGAGAATTCTACTTTTTCTCTGGGAATTATTCTTTTCCTGTGAGAATTCTGCTTCTCTTTTTGGAATTCTGCTTTTCCCTTGGGAACTCTGCTTCTTCTTTTGGATTTCTGCTTTTCCCTTGGGAATTCTGCTTTTCCTTTGGGAATTCTGCTTCTCCTTTTGGATTTCTGGTTTTCCCTTGGGAACTCTGCTTTTCCTTTTGGGAATTCTGCTTCTCCTCTGGGAATTCTGCTTTCCCTCTGGGAATTCTGCTTTTCCAGGCTCTGAGCATCCCAGCCTGCCGGGGTAGTGCCCAAACTCTTGGCCCAGCCTTGGTGGGAGGGAATTTTGCAGAATTTTGCTGCTGGGCAGATCCCAGCTCCACGTGGAGCTGTGGAACTTTGCTGGAATTCTGGAAATTTCTCATCACGATCCCCTTTTCCCTCTGAGAATTCATGTTATCCATCAGCAGCTTCAGGCTCCTGGAGGTTTGGTGATTCCCAGGAATTCCACATCCATATTTTTAAACACATTGGTGCTTCTGAAGCATTTCCAGCTGTTTGGGATCAAAATCCTGGAATTTTTAAGGTGGGAAAAGGGGAACATTTCCCTGGCAGTGCTGGGAGTTCCTGGTGCTGAGGTTGGAGCTGCCATCCTGAGCTGGGAGGGGGAAGTGGCTCCCAAATCCTGGATTTGGTGCCATTTGTGTTTCTTGACCACTTAATTATTCATTTTACCTCTGAATTGTAAAGCTGAATTTTGGGCTGAAGGTTGGGATCCAAATTTAAAAAGTGCAGGATGTAAAACTGTTGCAATGGCAAATACACAGACTGGGAAATAGAAATTAAAAGCTCATTAATGCCCAGCTAAAATTGTGTTTTCAGCCCACCCCTGCTGCTTTCAGCTCTCTGCAGCTGAAAATCAGGAAAATTAAATCAGCTTTTCCCTCACAAGTGAAATTTTCCCTCACAAGTGAAATTTATCTGAGTTAAATTGACAATTTCCTTGAGCTCCTCCTGAGCAGCACAAATTTCTGTGATCCTCTGAGATTTCTGCCCCTTCCTGTGAAAGCCCTCAGGGCTCTCCTCTCCCATGGATTTCCAGTGTATTTGGGAATTTTTTCCTTGTGTTTTTCCTGCTGCAGCTCCTCTTGCTGTGGTTTATCCCGAGCAGGAATTTAATAAAGGAACAAAGGGCATCAATCAAAGCTCTGAGCTGGGTTTAAAGCCTGCCTTGGGATGTGGTTAAGCCTGAGAGCACCCAAGTGTGGCCTAACAAAGCTCAGCCTTGTCTGTGGGGATTTGGGCAAAAGGAGCCTGGTTCATGATGAGAGAAATCTGAAATGAATCAAGCAGGGTTTAATTTACAGTGTGATGGTTCCAGGGGTTTGAAACCTGCAATTTTCTGTGACCAAAAAATGCATTTTAATGCTGAAATTAAATTTTAATGCTCCTTGTTTCTTTGAGATTGATCATTTATAGGCAGGAAGCTGGAACTGAGTCAGGGAGAGATGCCCTTGGTACAATTTGGGTATTAAAGGCACAAAATTACATTTCCTGCTCTCAATAACCCTGCTTGGAAATTCCAGCTGCACAGAAATAATTTTAATAATGTAAATCCTGACATGAATATTTATATTTATATTTATATTTATGTTTATGTTTATGTTTATGTTTATGTTTATGTTTATATTTATATTATTTGATTTTCCTCATGAAAGCAAACTCCCCAGCAGGCACTTTTACACTCAGATCTACTGAGCTTGGGTTTGTTTGGGGTTTTTTTTTAATTTTTTATTTATTTTGTATTTACTGACTGTGTTTTCCCTCCTGCTGCTCCTTCCTGAACAGGAAACCTCCATTTTAGAGGAATACAACATAAACTGGACTCAGAAGCTGGGAGCTGGGATCAGTGGGCCTGTTAGGTAAGGGAAGAGCCCAGGATGGTCCCTGTGAGTATTTTCCTAAAAAGGATGATGGGATACATGGAAAATGAGCCCCTGCACTGCCCCTTCCCTGCTTTCCCACCTGTTTGTCCAGCTTTTCCACTGGTTTTGCATCCCAGCCCTGCTCCTCATGGATTTTTAACCCCTGGATGT